TCAATTTTCGTATATATCATTTTAATTGGCTTATGTACCTTTGTTCAATAAGCTACTGAAGAATAATTTGGAATTTATTATGTTCATAAAAATGTATTACATTAAAGTTGTATCCTGCAAACACGATGCTATAACAACATTTGAAAAATTTATAAGGTACTGCAATTACAGCTTCATGCATCGTACAGAGTGTGCAATTTTTAAAATTTACCGTGTAACGAAGTCTTTTTATTTTAGAAAGAGGTTATTTGAGAAAAGCGTTTCTCCAAGAATAGAATGTGCAAATCGGTAAGTCACAGAGATCTCATCGTGCAATTCTTTAAATTGAAGCAAAAAGAAAACGATCATACGCCAACAAATTAAACGTTAATGAAGTACGAACGCAGCGTTTGACCGTATTTAAAGGGCACGCGAAAGGAGAATACATTAAATCAAAATCATATCTACGCTAAGGGAAATGTTAGTGTAAATTTCGATAAATAATGTACCTGTTATACACCTGTGTCTCGCGGATGTCGTTGACTGTTCGGAGTGACTGTGATTACTACCGCGCAGTAGTCCACAGGCAGTTGGTTTACCCGGGGCTCCATATCTGCATACCGTTCAGTTTGTCGCAGATGAAACATGCCCACCCCTCTACCCACGGAGTCAACTACCGTTCACAATTGCTCGTCGTTTTTAACCGTAAGGCTTGCACCGAATGATAAACAGTCACGCCGGCTACCGGAGCAGTGCAATAACCGAAAATGAAATAGAACGCGGAACGTTATTGCCAAAATATCTGAATTCTGAATTTATCGCCGAAGGTTATAGACATGCAGATATGTACGTAGATATTGAATGATGTTAAATTGAGTTGGCAACATTACAAATTTTGTTGATTCGGAGGCATTTTTATAATTAAATTATACTTGTGTAAGTCAACTTCTAAATCATTAGTAATCAAATATAAAATTATAATTGCAAATTAAAATTTAAGAATTAAATAAGTAGCGAAATCCTACTCTTTATTTATTTGTTGGCTATTGGATCTTATGTTAGTAAAACTTTAATTTGGAACTTGAATCTTAGTTAAAATCATTTCAATGTACGCATAAAATTTTATTGTAGTAAAGTAAATTTTTATTGAATTTAAATTTGATAGTTTAAAATAGAGTATTTTTTTTATATGGAATTGTATAAAACTACATATATAAAGTTCTATAAAGGTAGAAAATTTTTTATTATATCTTATAATGTTTTATAGTAGACTCTTTATTGTTATGTGCTTTCATTACATTTCTCTACGAAGTGCTGTCATCTAGCGAGCAGTAAAGCAGAGAAGAGAGAAAAGATTCTCTTGGCACAGAACAAGTTTAGAAGATTGTAAGATAGTATTTTTTTTTTATATAAGTAAATAAAACTACGAATATAATGTATGTAGTTTTTTATATTGTACGGAGATCATTATAATTTTTTTATTATTAGATATGTTTCTTTATACAGTACATTTCTTCACGAAGTGTTGTCATCTAGCGGAGAGCAGCGAGAAAAAGAGAAAGGAGTCGATAAAAAGCAAGTCGGCAAAGTATCAGCTGAACGTAATCGACAAAGAGATGTACTAATGAAAATTTTAAGAAATTTTGCGATTTCAAAGCTTCTTAAAATTTTGTCTGAGAGTTCAAAACTCTAAACTCTTTAGAATGAGAGGAATACTTAGCAGGAAAATATAATTAGATCAAGAAGTGCAAGTCAGAATATAATTAGATCACGGGCAAGTCAAAACTCCAAGCGTTGCAATTCCTAAAGTTTCATTTATTACAAATTTTCCTTCGTGTTATGTGCAACGTGAGTAAGACATGTTTTCTAAAAAGGGACGGAACAACTTACCTGTTTTCATAACTCAGTCTCAGTCTTAATAATATCAGTTACAAACGTTGCAATATGGACGAATCATGTTTCTAAAGAGGGACAAAAGTAAATCGTTGGTTTTTGGTACGTTTTTTGCGGGACATAAGCATCTCTCCTTCTCTCGATGTTTTTCCCCTCTTAATGGTTTACGCGATTTCGCAACCAACGTACACAACATCCTATATCAGCTAGGAACATTCGTTTTGTGAATTCTCCATTATCGCCTAGATACGCGCGTATAAAAATAATTACATTATGTCGATGAATGTAAAAAAGCACCTATTAAAGTGCTTCACAAGAAAAGAAATAAATATAGAATCAACATAAGCCTCGTAAAATGTCTTCTGTGAATTATTTTGTAAAATAAAGTGCCTCTTCCTTATTTTTATTATACATATATTTAAAAAATTAATATTATTTGATCGATGAAATTGTTAAGTTAGATGAATTGTAACACAGAACTCGAGTTCAATTATCAACTGAATATACATAGTGAACTTCTTTTACACATAACGTCAAGAGGTCAGCAGGACAGACCTTTCTAACGAGCCTCTTAGTACAGTTGAATAACCGCGGAAAGGGCTGTAATGCTTCGCGATGCTGCGATGCCTTGCTGTAATTAGGCGCTTGAAGGGATGAACGTGCTCGAAGAAGTAAACGTGCCAAGAACTGCAGGATTCCTTTGCCTTTGGCAATTCGTTAAAAACTGTTCTAATTACAGACTGTTTGCTAATTACTTATTATAAGCTAAATAAACATTTCTACTTACCACACGTTTCTTTAATTAATATCTTAAGTATTGAAATACCAAGTTACTAAAATGTTAAATTACTAAATTAGAAAAAAACATATTAATAAGTAAAGATTACAGAATAAAAAAGTAAATTTATTGTACTATGTATATACTCTGTAAAAGCAGTGGGAGAAGGAAAAGATTCAAAGACGGTTTAAAAGACGTAATATATTTTATTTAGACATTAATGATCCATAAAACATTGTTTATATATGGGGCTATAAACAAATAACTCTCGTCGCTACCATCTAATCGTGTAATAAATATTTTGTTTTACAAAAGAAAAAAACGCAGGAAGAGAAGCGCGTCAGGTCTCGTAAAAGCTCGATTGATTTTATCCGGCTGTCAATGATATCTTTACTTTTTCGATGATTGCGTTGCATTTACGAATTGTGCAGGCTGTATTTAAAAAAAATAGTACCTATGATATTTTAGATCTTTGATATGCATGAATTATGGAAGTTGTCAACGGCAAATTACAATAGCAAAACATTAAAAATAATAAATTGATTGAAAATGAAATATGTTATACTCTCCTGAAGAAAGGAGATCATAATTTATTCCACATTTATATACGATATATATGACTGTTTTGATTCGTACTCGTGTTTCTTTCAAGAATTGCATAAATATTAAATAAAATTTGAAATAAAAAGTAATATATGATAAAGTGCTAAAAATTCGTAAATGTACAGATTTCTAAATGCATATTTGTGTATTTATAAATTTATTATTTTAGGAGCACTTAAATATTGTTGCATTAAAATAATTATTTAAATTATTTAAAATTACTTCTACATACAAATATAGATTTACAGATTTATGCATTCATAAGTAATGTAATACACAATTGTAATAACATAGAATTTGTGCAACAGCTGCCAAACAGAGCCTTCTTTTTTCTCGCTTTCTCTATGCTACGTTTCCTTCTTAAAATAGATAACAATTATTTAAATCGTGTGTAGTTTAATGATCGATTAAAAATCTTAAAATGAAAGTGAATCAGAACGGAGCAGATAACAGCAGAGAAATGGACTTGCCGTTTTTAATAATGATTGAAGTTTAAATTCAGTTATTAGTAATTCAGTTATTAGTTCGCCATCAACATCATATTGTTTATTGGGGAGATATGTTGTTTCATAAATAATTAAATTGGCAATCTATATTTTTAATCTACACGCATGTGCGAACGCTAAAAAAGGAAGATACAAGTTTCTTTGTTTTCTTAACAAACAGCTTTACCAATATTTAAGGATTATTTATATCCGGTATTATTATTGGTGTTATAATATTTATTGAAGAAAAATTAATCCTCGCTGAAAATTAATTAATAAGTAAATAATCTTTAGAAATATTAGATTTCTAGAAATATTGAATCCATTGATGATGTTTTTTTTTTAGCTAATACGTTGTCCACAAATAGTCTTATGTTCAATATTTTTGCCATCAAGATGACAAAAGCACTTGATTTTATGTAGTTGAATGATAATAAACTTATATTGTATACAATTTTCTAAATATAAAATTATCTGTGATTTACAATTGCATTATGTGAATTTGAAATCTCGTGGTTGATAAATTTCGAATCTAGAAACTAAATACAAAATAGTAATAAACAAAATTATAACCCTAAAAATTTAAAACTTTAATTCCATATTTTTTGAATGAATAAATATAATGTTCTATAGCTTCTTATGCCGAAGCTGCAAACTTTTAAAAGAGATAACATATATATATATATAAATAAAATATATATATATATACATGCACACACCTATACATATATATATATATTGTATAGTTTATACATGGGAGAATGGTCTAAACCGAACATATTTGCAGTTGTTTTCTACAAGGTGTAAATAAAGTTAGATCATAAAACCAATGGTGTCGTTCGAAAGATCATTAAATTTCCTTCATTTTTGCTGTAGACCATTTTGACGTATCTCTTATCTGTTGAATTATAATGGAAAATGTAAAAATTCATAAAATTGTTTAATTCATAAGTCCAAAATAATACTAAAAATTCTAATATTAGATGTGAAAATTTCAAAAATAAAAATGAAATTCGAATACCAAATGTAAAAACTTTAAAAATAAAATAAAATAATTAATGCAATTACAATAAATAAAAAAATCTACGGTTTTTAATGAATAAAAGAAATTAATGAAAATATTTTAATCCGCAATTTAATTAATATTTAAAAAAAGCCAGATATCAAATGTAAATAATTAAATTCAATCTGATTTTCTATTATATTTTCTTTTCATTTGGATTAGATTTCAATTAAAGTTTAAAAGGGAATTACAAGTGCGTAAAGAGTCCAGAATGAAACTGATATTTTTTCCTTTTGGGAAAATGATCGATATTCGATCAGCCGGCATAGACCACGGGATCTAACGATCCTGAATATAATTTGTTAGGCAATTAAGCTATATACAAATGGGTGCGTTATCCTTAAAGGAGATCGATATGTCTCGTTGGTTGGCCGGGGAAGACCGTTCCGATGAATATTCTCTTTTTATCGTTTCTTTTAACATTTTTTTTTCTTTTTCCTCATTTATTCCTTTGCCGATAATGAACCATTGGTCAAGGCCATCACCGTTCCAGAAGTTGTTCTCGAGTTCGTATCAGAATTTAGCTCCAAGGACGAATCCTGTAACAATAGAATTAGACAAAATTATTTAAATAATGGTCTATTAGAGAACATTTATTTTGAAAATTGTGAGATATTTATAGCGCTATAATAGTAAGATAGATATTTCCTATACCATTTTTAATATCATAATTTAAAATATTTCTAAGTGAATTTTTGTACTCTTTTATTAGGTTATGAAGCTTTATTTAAATTATAAAATTAATACACGTTTCCTAATATGTATAGCAAACGTAACACTTGGACGATTATAATATATTCGTGGTTGTTAGCAGAAATCAGAACGATATGGTTTATCGCGCGTGTGGAAAAAAAGGAAACTGCGACGGCATTGTCGTAGTCGTTGTTGGCGCCGACACGCCGATTTACGACGTTTCTGTTAATATGCACCCAAGAAGAACGAGTCTCCATCGCAGATGACTGCTTTTAACTGCTGCATGGCGAAAGCGACGTCAGTCATTAGTGCCATGCTGGTTCCATTACGATCTTTACGCTCTTTACGGTCCTCACGACACGTGATCTAAGTCGATGTTTCTGTCGTTGTACTATTTCCGGCTGTGCATCGTGACAGAGAATCGTGTATCTGTTCTTTTATCTCTCCTATTGTTCAAACCACGGGATTCTTATTTTTTATTTTTGTTCGTATTGTAATAGAATGAATAAAAAGTATGAAAGAGAGAAAATAATATTAGGCAGTTAATAATACGATGCGATTGCAAAAATAAATTAATTAGGGAATATTTTCTTAATTTTTTAAACTTTAAAAATTCTTTTTTTAATTAAAAAATTTTTTTTGTTACTTGTAAAATAAATCTTTTTAAATATTAATTTATTGTGGTAAAGAAGATTTACTATACTATGTAAATAAATATTTTAAACAAATATAAAAATTTTTTAAGTATAAAGTTTAATTAAGAAAGATATTTCCTAATAATATATTTTCGCAATCGCATACTAACAAATATTTTCTTCTATCGCTATTGTCATTATCAATAATTTCTACATATATTCTTGATGCTTTTTCGAATATAAAGTGTAATAGAGGAGAACTGAAAACTCACAATGCTGAGAGTATGCATGATGCATGCTTGTGTAGTGTTCTCGACGTGGATCAATTCGTCGCAGTCTTCGTGATCCAACCCGTTAACGTCAGATCGAATCTTGATCGGCGACAGAGCCGCTTCGTTGTCCGTTGACTTGCCACTGTCGGGGGACGGTATTAACTCATGTCCATCAAGTTCCTCCTCCTCTGCGCGCTCTTCGCAATCCGTAGCCTTGATTTCCTGTCATAGATTCCATAGATTAATACTGTTACGCGAGATTATCGTAGACAGGAAACTGATTAACGAAGGTATCTGCATTGCAATCATTTATCCTCGCAAGAAGCTGTGTATGCTGTATGGTTATGATTGAAAATTGCAGCAACGTTACGTATTGCTGCGGATACTCATTTGTTAATAAGCAACGTGCTACAATTAACGTTAGCGATTTTATCATATAGAAAATCCAGTTTTTCTCTTTAAATTCTAAAATTTAGCACCCTATATATATTTCAAATAGCAGCATTTACTAGAAAGACTTCGTACAACAGAAACACATTTGATTAGATTTCGATTAATCATCCGGATGCCGTTACAAAATTCCATACTTCCTCTGTATTCTTTTTCAGACGGGTAAATTCTTTGATGTAATATATTTTTCAATAACAATGCTACCGTTAGCACGTAAAAAGAACAAAAAATTGGTTAAACAAAAAAGTCCTTTATTCTATTATTCTGTATAAAAGTATATTAGATCCTACGAGCGAGCAGTTTCTGCGATATTTAACATCAAAAGTACGATTTTCGGTTTTGCTATCTGTCGATGGGAAAACTGTTAAGGGGAGAGATGGTGAGCGAGTGGCGGGAAAATGCCATCACCCGAGGGGGCGCGGAAAAATATTACTTCGTCATATGTTTCTCTGTCGATACGTCAACCCCAGAGTTAGCCTCGATGGAATCGACGTGTTTCGCGTCGGTCACTGGGGTTGCTTTTGCCGAGTGCAAGCGCATATACCCCCCTTACTCCAGTTCTATACAACTTCGTGAAAATCGTGTACGTCAAGCGTTGTCGGGAAGACTGTCTGCGTCGTCGTCCGTCGGATATATCTCGTGTCTCAGACGACGCGTATCGTCGCGATGCCTCTTTGTTGCTTCTCTGGATCGCCTCGTGACGCTCCGATAAATGTGACGGAAGACTACGTGTCGTTTTGGTAGAAATGGAAAAAGAAAAAAAAAAAGAGAGGACGTCGTTGAAATGAACTGCGAAATGGTGAAACTGGTCTTTTCAGAACAATTGATGTGACCTACTTATTGCGTAATGATTTATATTAGAGTTGAACAAATCAAATTATATAATTAAGAAAATAATGGAGAATAATTTCGAGACACGTTTCAAAAGCTAGATATTTTTTACGATATAAAATATTCCGAAGGTTTAATTTATAAATCTATCTACTATATTTAAGTCGTTTGAGAGTTCACAATGAATAAATATGCTTACAAATACATAAAGTATTGTATCTCATATGAAAACAATGAACTTTGGATTATGGCCCACCAACGAGAATTGCATTATTGATAACACAACGTCAATACTACAGAGCAAGTAATTCAATCGTCGGTTGGTAATGAAACGCAAATTAATTAATGAAAGTGAGAGAATATTACTTATTTAAATGATCGGCCGTCGCACCAGGCTGGATAATTAGGTATACCTACGGGACAGTCAAATATTTCCGTTAATCTCACGTTTTAATTACTCGAGAAATTCATGTGCGACGATAAAACAATTCCGGATATTCGTTAATGACAAATACATTAAATATGATCTGAGAAAATAGAAACTTTGTGAGTGAGTATATATTCAAACATTTTTCTCGATTAAAATATATTACGGTATTATACATTATTAAACAAATGTGCAACAATAGTTAAAGAATTCCACTGAACCCATATTGCTTTCGTTTTTGACTCTTACCACATTTTATTCATACTGACTCTACTCTTTCTCGCTGTTGAGAACGAAGAATTGGTTCGGAATCTTGGACGTCATTTCGTCGTGCGTAGTGGAGGTACTTTAAGGAGAGCATTATGGTTGTTTGTGCTAATTTTATAAGTTAAAATTATGGATTGTGTTTTAACTGTCAGATATGAGTTTTTTATTACTTGCGTAATAGGTTCGATGTTTTTTTTATTGATATCGAGATATTTTCTTCTATAACAAAAGAACGATTTTGCTGGAGCATTTAAAAATTAAGTTAAATCTGAAAATAATTTTATTGGACCTTTTTAAAACAATTCTATAGAAAACTGTAGTCTGATAAGCAATGCTGTAAAAAGTTTTGACATTTTAACAATCTAATCAATTTAAACTTTGAACGTCTGATATAATTATTTTGACAATTTAGCAAAAATATTTTCAGATCTAGTTAAATGTTTAGATAGTAGCAAAACCGTTTCTGTCGTGTATGATTTTACTTTGTAATTTTCACAGTTAAAAAGAATTAAGCTTGAAACGTTCCATGAGTTTTTCGTTACCGTTGTAAATAAAATATTAATAGTCATCTGTTTCGGTTCATTAAAATTTTATCTTAATTTCTATATTGCTTAGCATAAAAATGAGCGATTTTTAATTTTATTTTTTAAGATACGATTAATTCTACTGAAATTACCAGACAATAATCTAATTACAAGCAATAAAAAATAAAATAGACATTCAGTGATTAAAGTGTAAAATGTCTTATTTTAAATCACTTTGCCTCGAGGGTGAATTCTAAACTCCCCTTTTATAGTCGTTCGTTCCACCCTTCGCCATTCCCAAGGCGGAAACTATTAATTCTTCAGTTCAGGCTGCGCGATTTTGTAAAATATTGCTGCATGATGTCGGTGTAAATAATAAATCTCAGACAGGACGTAAGAGGAGTGAGAATTAACCTGGAAATCCTGCGGGGAAGGCGACGACTCCTTCGGTTGGTCAAGGCTAGGGCTTCGTGACGGGCTCGGCGCTCTTGTGCCCAACTCGTAAATGTTGATCATGTGAGCTGCTTGGGCATGGACCATCAATTCCCAAGCACTTGGAAAGGATAACTTGCAGAGGACGCAGAGTAACGCCGTCGTCGAGTCTCCTGTTCGTGCGGGAGCGCGGGACGTTAATAAATAATCTAAAGATACCGTAGTGATGTCACACAGTGAGCCACAGGAAGGACAAAATAAGACAAAATCTAGAAACTGATTTCTCAAAACGATATCGTGTGCAACAAATAAATATTAAATTGCTCGGTGAACTTTTGTACAAGTTCTGAAGTGAGACTACAATGCATTTATTAGTGCTGTCAATTTAACTCTCCATTGGCAATGCGGGATATATTTTAAGGTACATCAATTTTTTATTATAAATTGAAAAAAAATTAATAGATAGCGGGGTTTGATATTCTTACCTAAAAAAGCTTGTTAATGTTAAAATTGTGTATGTACAAATATCCGAATGTATTCTTTCATTATAAATATAAATAGAAGTCGTATCCGTGCCTTAACGACCCATGTTGCAAACCGCATAAAAGATTTTTTGTAATTAAAAGATTTGAATTCTTTTTAATGCTAATTTTAAGATACGATATAAAAATTTTACTTTTTTAAAATAGAGACCAATTAATGTCTCATATCATTCTTTTCACTAATATAATTGCGAAATCATTTATATAGATATATATATCACATACATACATAATTCATGAAATATACTCGAAATTGAAGAAACTCCTTCAGACAGACTTGTTAAATTAGAAAAATTCAACTCAAACCTTTTTAAAACCAAAATTATTATACTACAGTTTTTTCTGATGTATATGCCCAAATATTGTAGTCTAAAAAATTGTTTTCATTTACTCTCATATAAAAGTATTATAAATTTTTTTTTAAACTTTATATAGATATATCATTTCTTTCAAAATTTTTATATTTAAATTTGTAAAAAGTAAGTAAAATACGAAACGGTTTTTATTATAATAAAAATTTGTTGGTAAAGATTTTTCAAGTATATATGAATTGTTTCAGATTTTTATACAATTCGGAACAATAAAAAATCTACTGTGGACTCAGATTGCAGACTATAATTGACAATTTTATATTGAATGGAGGATGAAATTGTTCGCAAAAATTTTCTCTTCGTTTAAGTTAAATTTGAGTCAGCACGATTTTTTTATTAACTTTGTCTCATTTTATCCTTTTTTTTATTCAACAACATAATTCGAGCCGCCATAAGGAAAATGGAACATGTTTGTTTTCCTTTAATAGAAATGAAATATCTAAAATTGTTTGATTTACACTAACGCAACACAACAAAACACGTTCATTTAATACATTTATTTTAACGAAATATAATGCAAAGGATTTTATGCGGTGCTCATCTTGTTTGCGTAATTTAATTCACCGTGCAAAGAGGCATAAATTTGTCATCAATTACGTCAACCAATTAATATCAAATTTAATGAATGTAAGTAATCTGTTTTAATTTAAATAGGGATATAAGTTCTGATTAAACAACACGATGACATCGCAAAAAGTTGTCCAACTGTTAATTATGATCGACGAGAATAACCGCCGATTAAAATTATGGGCGATGAGCAATTATTAATTCTGGATCTTCCGGTGGGATTCGGAGCGCGTTTACGTACCGGAAGGAGGCGCCTCGAAGTTTATTTCGAGTACATACTTGGGGCGGCTCCGTTGAAGGTGTGACATTTACATGTGAACCGCAGCTTGCAGTAGTTCCGCTTGTGCTCCAACAGCTCCCCGAGTTCCGTGAACATCTCCCTGCAGTTGCCGCAGATCAGTATATCTGGATTGCCTACGACATACCTTCAATTAAACCCAGCCTTCATTGCTCGACAAGGCTTTGGGACTCCGCGTGTTACAAGGAGCTAACTTATAAACTTAGAGAATAATCATTGCATAATAATATAATAATAATAACGTTAATTTAACTACAAACATTACTAGTAGTGCTACGATTTTGTAACGGAAATAGATACGTTGAGATACTGCTCCTAATCTGTAATTTATACTGAAAATGTGGCTTAAAGTGAAGTACGCTATACGTACATTTCTTATAATATATCGTCTTTATATTATATAATAATTATGAATTTTAAATGAAGACTGTTTTATTTAAAGCAATGCATCTTTAATCGCGTTAGACTCACATAGCCCTTCTATTAAGATATTAATAGACATGTTGAAATAAATTCACCATTTCGCTTTGTTAGTTCCAAATATTCGACTTTAAGGTAAAGAAGGAGAGAAGGTGAAGTACATCACAAAGCTAACATCGAAGTACATAACGAAAACGTACTGTCTCGAATGCGGTACTTACTGTACACTTTAAGTTGATTCAAGTCGGGTATCGTGCCGGTGTTTACTGTCGATTGTTGTTTCTGTAGCTTCGGATGTTGTGCTCGTGTCGGTGGCATCAGACGCGGCCGCTTCAACGGCGGTGCTAAGCGCGGCGGAAACGCGGTCGACGCGTAATAACTGCAAACAGAAGGATGTTTTGCAAAATACATTAGTACGTGCTTTACGTCAGATTTCTACGCGCATCTACATCCACAATTGCGTATACACACATATACACGCTTACACATTTTGTGTCATCATCGTCGTCTCTTTCCCTCTTTCTTTCTCTTTCTCTGTTTTTACGACATTGATTGTCTTTTAGCCTGTTGTTACTTGCTCTTTATACTTTGCATTCTAATATTATATGTCTATTATTATTCTTCTCTTTGATGTTGTACAATTAAATAAGAGTCTGTGATGCTCCACATCGACAACTTCGCAAATGAACAACCGTATAAGCCGTTCCGCAAACGAGAGCATTTCCTTGAATACATTTGGGTACACGGTGGAATAAATGTACAGCATTAAATGCATTTTACAGAATCGCGAGATCTCGCTACGAGAACTTCTTTAAAAGACTTCCCTTTGTCGCAGTATGTAACACGCCGCAACGGTGTTGCATGTCATTTTTATTTCGTTATTTTATTTTGAAGAAAAAACTTTAATTCCTCTTATAATGTTTCGCGCTTTCCTTTCTGTTTCACCCCTTAAACATTTCATTTAAATGGGAAAAGTGTGAACAAGTGTAGTCTTTTGTAAACAATCGACAGAAACGTTAACATATATTCAACTTTAAAATAATTATATTATCTCTTTAGAATAATTGTATTATTTAACCAATGAGAATCATGATAGATGTATATTACTTTTCTACAATATTTCAATTAACTTTGTTATCAAGAATTCTGCTAAAATTGGAAGCGTCAGCTTTAAGGAAGCTAAAGCGATTGTTGCTTTAAAACTTCGAAGGTAGAAGCACGCGGTAAAATAAATTAGATTTGAATAATTCAGGATGTATCCGGTAATACGGTTCCTGCGAATTAAGATCGAATTACCTCGAGATTTTTCTTTCGGCGGTATCACTTTGTGAGATAAAATGCACATCGTATTATAACGGAGGAAAAATCGATTATTTCACGCATAATAAAAATGAGCTAATTACGCTGTAACTGGAAACCGTTTTTGGAAAAGTTTTGTAAATCGTTCCCTCGTGAACAATCTTCCAACGACCACGTGCGATGATAATTATTCTATTACAATAATAGAACTGTACGCTCATAGTCCATTAGCAGCAATAGGTAAATGATAACGAGGGCATATGTTATTCTTTATGATATTACGACATGCAAAATATCGAGAACATCATAGCGGATGGATTTTGCACGAAATTTCATTGTACGGGAATAATGCAGAATGCACGCATATAACTTTACGATGTCAGAATTGCTGCTTGCCATACTGGAGATGCCAATACTGGAGATGCAAATTTGTAAATTGCCTTTGCACCTCTCTTTACTACTTATAAAATTGTGTAATAAAATGTATGAAAACAGAAGCATTTTTACGTATTCGTCTGATTCTGTTAAGCGCAAGTGTTACAATGATTTTTTTTAAATTTTAAACCATTCTGATTCGGTTTGTTGAACTTAAAACGGAATCGCAATTTGAAACTGAAACATTAATATCTTAAAATAGATTAATCATCAATTCTAATGATGCTAATGAGTTTCTTAAAAATTTGTAAATAATTTATTACGAAGAATATTATTATACCGGAGAGTAATATTTTTCGCAATAAATTATTTACAAAATTTTGAGATGCTTATTAACATTATTATTAAAATTGATGATCAATCTAATTTAAGATATTAATATTTCAGCTTTAATTTGTGGTTGCGTTTTTGAAGTCTGATAAATTTATAAAACTGAAAAAATATATTTTTAGAAAAATTTGCATATTACTATTTATTATTAAATAAAATTTAACCGAAAATATAATTATTTCTCTTAACCATTTTATAAAAAATTTCCTCTCTCCCTTCAAAAAAAATGAAAAAATGACACCACACCATCATTTTCAAAAACAAATTGTGAATAAATTACACTTTTATGGAGCAGAAATTTAGGGAGATTTAATTTCTTTATCTCCGGCGAGTATGCGGGGATTAAAATCTTTACTGCATCAGTTTATCCTCAGATTATGTTTACTTTTTTTTATTTTCTTTGCGTTATACTTTATTTTCTGCTCGTTTTAAATCACCATCAATCACGGCTTGATGTAGGTATATTTAACCGCTAAATATAAAATTGTCGATATGAGACTCATCGCTCACTCGATCTCGCGTAACACATGTCATACGATTACACAATGTGCTTGTGAAATATTTCGTCTTTTAAATACTTGTATTAAAACACGATCCATAAAGTACAAAATCTGTCGTTTTGTATTAAAAAATATTGCAACTGTTCGATGTAAACGAAAGCTTACACGAAAGCCCGCAGATCGTAAATAAATAAATAAATAAAATGTGTACACATTTTCCTTTGGAAGATATTTTTATTATTGATTTTCTTGTTTGTTTACAATACATTAGACGACGCAGCAGTGTCTCGACATTAAGTACATAAGAATCGAAAATAACTTCACTGTGACGTATTTGTTGAAACCAAATATACATGCTACTATGTATGTAAAACAATTCAATCATGTCACAACAATGCACAGAAAAGTAATCGATATCTAGTTCTCTCTTGTTATTATTGTATCGGTTTCGTAGCCGATTTCAACGCCTCCCATGGAAACAAAGTCTGAATCCTGACAATAAAAATATCATGTTACTGACATATGCCAATGCTCACGTCGTTACTGTCGGGCATTGCCGATTCCTATATTCGCTAGAAAATTTCAACGTTTGATTTTCCGGTAAAGATCTCAAAAATTAAAAATGTCATCAGAAATTGAATGATGCTTTTATGGCGTGCTACTATAATATTTTATAATTTTTACTTTACGCTGCATTATTTTATACACTTGACTCAAAGTTTTTATAACTTTTGATTCGTATACATCTTTCATATTTTAACGGAATAGACTTTGTTATATTTTATAAGATTTGTTCCATCCTTTTTCTTGAAGGATACAACAGTCGATGAACGCATCAGACCATTTTCATGGTCTTGCGAAGAAAAACGAAGGTGTTATTTAAGGATTAAACTAGTAAAGGAGGTATAGGGGTGCGCGTGAATTCGTGCCTTCTTGCCGTTGTTAAAAGTTCTTTTAAGACGAGTTTTGCTCTCTTCCTGGAAGTCGCGAATAATAGCAAAGGGTCGCGACAGGCGAAAAGGGATGATCGGAAAAAGTAACAAAAGACCTATAAGGCATCATCTTCGACGTTGTTCGATGTTGTTCTCTAGTGTGTTTCAACAGTTTTAACATTTCCAAGTACCATCCAATTATCAGCCAAGTCAGCTGTTTCCTTCTCAGTGATCAGTCGACAAGTCTTTGTAGACAAACTTCTCTAAATTATTTTCAGATATTACGAACGTATTTGAATGAACATTCGAAGATCAAATGAGAGAGATTTGTACAAAGTTAGAAATTAAAAAAGAGTTTTTAATACTCTGTGCTGCACATGATATACAATTATAAAGTTAATTACCTTTTTAATTTTAATTCGCCTCTTTTCGCGTAGAAAATGTTTGAAGCCTTAAATGATTTTCTTACAGTCTTCCAAATCGGATAAATGTCTAATCGATTATCAACGTATCTAGGTCGCGTATGTACTCGTAAAAGTCCAGTTATATTAACGTTACGACACCATACATCTGTCCATTTTGAGGCTTCTAATTGCCGTAATAGACATAAGTAGGTTAATATCGAACATGTTAGATCGTTCTTACATACATGAGTAATTTCTGTTGTCTCAAATCTCTTACCACGATGGAGAATAATATGCCATGATTTAATTTACCTCAGCTCGAACCGTAGAGCAGATTCCGTGAATTTGAAAAAATCGCAAAAATTTCGGAGCAGTACGTAAAATATCCAATCTCTCTGTATATAATATTCCATGTTATTTTAGATTCCATACTGTTTAATCGAGCGCGCTCAATCTCGGACCGGGGACGACGTGCCCGCCGAAAAACGACGCCGACGCCGGTCGTCCACGTCGTCGCGTCTCCACTTTATACGGCGGCGGCTCTCGGATATGCATGTATTCAGATTAGACAACGCGGAGGGAGAATTTGTCGGATAAATTCAGCCGGGGGTAGTGGCCGGGGGCCGGCTCGCGCTCGCTCTAACACACTGGATTTCATTAAAATTCATTCGGCGCGGCAAGCTGTCACACGCGCCACGGATGTACAGACGGACGAGCGGGCTAATAGGCTTACCGTGTTACTACAAAAGGCGCCGAGCCCCTTCTCTCACTCGAGCAGATTGTACGCTGTGGCCATATAAATTAAATATAAATAATGTACACAATGTAAATTGAATTAGATGACGCGTGTCACGCTCGCGGTCACAAATATTTTATACATGTACATCCGCTGAAAATGTAAATGATCGTTAAAACGATTATTACACCAATGGAGTCCGGTAAATTAGCGTAAATTGAGTAGATCGAAAGAACAAAAGGTCAGGATGCTGACAATTTGCAAATCCAAGAGATCGTTGTATGTAATAACGATTCCACGTGTGACGTATAACAAGTTGATGACATATCGCGAGCAACAGCAGCATCGTCAGCTGCATTATTTCTTATTCCTCATTTTTGCCCGATCTAACATCAATAAATCATGCATTTTTTATCAGAATGCGTCAAGACATCGTCACAATGTACGCTCAACGCGGACAAAACCAGCCGGCCATATTTTACTATCGCAAGTATCACGATTTCCGCTCATCCCCTCGCAGTCATAAATAATATTTCTGTCGGTGGCCAGGTCGGCGTTTTCCCGCAATTATTGCGTCTCTCATAACCGACGTCATAATTCTATACCATAACGAGGCCATTCGTAACCCTCCAATCCCACTCTCCTCCTACCCGCCCGCTATCCACTCTTCCACTTCATTCTGACATTTTTTTACGCGCGTGCGACCTTTTACGGATGACGGCGACTAATGGCAGCTGCGTTGC